GACATATTGTCAGGAGGGACCACTCGCTGGAGAAGGATATCATGTTTGGTAAGGTGGAGGGTCAGAGAAAAAGAGGAAGAACCCCAACGACATGGAATGGCCAAGTGGCAGGATCGATGGACTCAAGCGTGGCAACAGTACTGAGGTTGGCCCAGGATCCGGCAGTGTTTCGTTCTGCTGTGCATATGGTTGCTATGGGTCGGTACTGACTTGATGGAACCTAATGACAACAACAACAATCTCTAAAGGTAAAGTCACATGGCCCAGCCCACAACTAGCACCAATCACCAGAGATGGGAATGAGGCTATTTTAGATAATCCAGACCCAACTGAGGCTCCAAATGGCTGTAGACACATATGTGACCATAGACAAGACTAGCAGAGTTTCAGGCGAGTCTTTCCCAAAATTGCTGATGTGAGCAACTGAATAGCTGGAATGGTTTACTATACAGCAGGAAAGAACTAAAATTAGTTATACGTTCCATTTATACCATTGGTGATTATTATTTAGAACACAATTTTGTATATATATATAAGCTTGTTGTTGTTGTTGTTTCATAGCGACCCTGCACAGGGTTTCCGAGGCTGTAAATCTTTAAGGGAGCAGAAAGCCTCATCTTTCTCCCGCGGAACCGCTGGTAGTTTCGAACTGCTGACCTTGCGGTTCACAGCCCGATTCGTAACCACTAAGCTACCAGAGCTCCCCATATATAAGCTTAATGCCCCATAATTAGAAATCCTTCACAAAATTACAGTATTTTGACTCCTCAATTAGATGGTAAACTCCTTTACGATAGCAACTATTTATTTGCATTCCCAGTAGTGCCACAAAGGAACATATTTTATTGATATTGATGCCTTGAAACATAATAAAGGGACTCAATAAACACTGAACTATGTTATAGAGAATGAATAAAGATTCAGATTTAAAATCCTACCAGGATATAGAAAATACATGTTTTAAGCAAAGTGTAGTATATTTGAAAATATATTATTCAGAAAATCACATAATATATGCTTAATGGCATTTATTATATACTCACACATAAAAACAATTTGAGTTTCAGGAATACAGGGTAGCTACGAATAAGTATTTTCTTGCAAATGCAAAGAGTTTACTTCTTTTCCCACAGTAAATAATTTTAGAGTTGCTTCTTTTCTTCATAGCTTGTCTGATTTACTTAATTATTTTTGCTTTTGTTGTTCTATTGTGCATTTTCCTTTGTTACAATTCTTTGAAAATCATCTATCAGATGAAAAAGGAACTATGGTAGGATAGTGGTTACGAGTTGGGCTGCTAACCTCAAGGTCAGCAGTTCGCAACTACCAGCTGTTCTGAGGGAGAAAAATGAGGCTTTGTGTTCCTGTAAAGATTTGGAGCCTCAAAACTCTAAACAGTGTCACTATGAGTTGGAACCAACTCCACAGCACATAACTACCACCACCATGATCAGATGAAAAAGAGACAGACCCCCAAGGAGAGAGATTAACATGGTGCCTACAACAATGGACTCAAACATGACAGAAATAGTGAGGATGATACAAAATTGGGCAATGTTTCAGTCTGTTGTGTATGGTGTTGTTATGAGTCAGAATTGACTTAACAGCACTTAACAACAACAATCAGAAGTAACTTGAGTCTAGTAATGTTTACTACTAAAAGGCAACACCAAAGTTTCTTAAACATTGCTGTTGTTAAGTGCCATTAAGTTGGTTCTGACTCCTAGTGACCCTGTATAAGTTTCTGATGAGCCATTGGTGGGTTTGAACCACTGACCTTGTGGTTCAATTGATATTCTAGGAAAGTAAGTTCCACTTTCCAAGGAAGGCAGCATTTGTAACTTCTATACTCTTATGTGTACTTTCTTTCCACATTATTTCAGAGTTGATACTCTAGGATATTCTGTAACAAGGAAAAGAAGGTAGGCTGCTCTATTATCATTTCTTGGAAGTAAATGCTTCTTAGGTGGAGCATTTAAATCTTTTTAGAAATCTGGTTCAGATAATTTCTCATAATGACACATAATCTGATGTTCTGTTAATGATTTAAAAACCACAGAGAAACATAATTGCTTTTTTCCTAGAAACACCTAAACTATTTTCAAGTTGCTACCACCTAAATATGTTTATGAAACATATACACATATTTTCCTTTCCCTGTGTTCTCAGGAAGTGAGAGCAGTTTAAGAGACTTAATGGAAACAAACATGATTTCCTATATTCCATAGTTTCACAAAAAGAGGGACTTTGAGGATATTAAAATTCAGTGTTCCATCTTACTGGGAACCCTATGTCTTATATGTGGAAGGAAATAATACTTCTATTAAAAAATATATACATTTCAGGATTACTTTAATAATTGGCCTACAATAGATCCCCCTACACTAAATTTTATTTTGAAATATGGAAGATGATATGCAGAATACACATTTTTTGTTGTTGTTAAGTACCGTCAAGTCAGTTCCAATCCATAGTGATCCTGTATAGGGTTTCCAAGGAGCAGATAATGAGCATGAACCACTGACTGCAGTTCAAACTGACTTTGCAGTCCAGCATATTAACCCAGGACTCCAGAGTACACATTGTTGTTATTGTTAAGTATTGTCGAGTCGGTTCCAACCCATAGCGACCCTGTGTAGGGTTTCCGAGGAACAGCTGGTGAACTTGAACCGCCGACCTTGTAGTTCAAGTGGCTTTGCTGTCTGGTCCATTAACCACAGCACTACATGTTAGGTGCTATCGAGTGGGTACCGACCCATAGTGACCTTATGCACAACAGAACGAAACACTGCCTAATCCTGGGCCAACCTCACTACTGTTGCCATGCTTGAGTCCATCGATGCTGCCACTTGGCCAATCCATCTCTTCGGGGGTCTTCCTCTTTTTCTCTGACCCTCCATCTTACCAAACATGATATCCTTTTCCAGCGAGTGGTCCCTCCTGACAATATGTCCGAAGTATGAGAGATAAAGTTTGGCCATCTTGGCCTCTAAGGAGCACTCTGGCTGCACTTCATCCAAAATGGATCTATTGGTTCTTTTGGCAGCCCATGGCACTTTCACTATTCTTCTCCAACACCATAACTCAAAGGCATCAATTCTTGTACAGTCTTCCTTATTCACAGTCCAGCTTTCACATGCATATGAGGTTATTGAAAATACCATGGTTCAAGCTGCCATCTTTGCTCTTCAACACTTTAAAAAGGTCTTGTGCAGCAGATTTGCCTAATGCAATACATTGTTTGATCTCTTGACTGCTGCTTCCATGAGTGTTGATAGTTTATCCAAGAGTACACATAGATTTGTTCAATGTCACAGGAAAATTCCTAAGACAGCTAGATGCCAGTTAGCCTACCTTTCTTGTCAGTTCTTTAAAGCAAAAGCAGTGTTAGCACCAACATCTTAATCCTTCCATATATATGGAGGAACCACCTAACTTACTGGTCTATAGAAGATCATCAGACAGTTATTTGCAATAATTAAGCGTCAATCATCTCTATATTTAGTTTACTAGCCAAGTGTCTCAACCTGTCTTTTAACTCAGTTCCAAGTGAAATTGGTTAGATGTCAGTCATTTCAGTGAAATTGTCTAGCTACACTAGATATTTGGGGGATCAGCAAGATACAATGGAGTCCTGGTGTGGCGCTGTGGGTTAATGCGCTAAACTGCAAATTCAGTTTGAACTGCAAGGTTGGTGGTTCAAGCTCACCAGTCACTCCTTGGAAACCCTCTAGAGGGTGGCTACGGGTCAGAACCAACTCAATGGCATTTAACAACAACAACAACAAGATAAAATATTGCCAGTTTAAGGAGGAATTTAACCTGGCAATACTAAACATGCTATGTGATTGAGTCAGAACAGAAGGGGAGGGAAAGATGACTAAAAAGGATAAATAAATTCTGCCCACCTCCTGATTTTGTGGGAACATTTATCCAAAGTAGCTCCCTCTGCTTCCATCGCTCACACCATAACTCTGCTCTGTGCTAGACAATTGCTATCTTTTCCCTGTCTTTTTAATCATTTAATGTTATTTCTTGTGTCTTCCAAGTTCACATGTCTTTCAAATTCTCATTTCTCTCCCAAATTCTTTTTAAGATCATGAGCATTTGTAGAAGTGATAGGGACTATAACATTTGAAACCACAGGAATAACTGGGAGTACCAGCAAACCCATAAAGCAAGATTTTCTCACCCATAGTCTCCTTTATTGATATAGTCAATTACTTCTGGTTGAACAAGACACACATGATGGGAACATTTCCATTGCTGTCCTGAACATGTACTGCAAAGACAGAAAAAAATAAAAAATAAAAATGGACTGACCCTTATTGAGTACATTTCAAAATTAGTAACAATAGTACACATTGTTAAGGTACAAAACAGAATTCCTAGATTAATGTTAGCCATATAATTATTTGATTCTTGACAAAAATAAATCATAACACATACATTAGCTACCACTCAAGATGCTCTTATCTTTTACTACAGGTAATTAATAAATGAAATAGCCATGTATTCCTTGAATTTTGAAAATAGTAGATAATTTATACCATAGATCAGTACATTTGTACTAGGATATGTTTTTGTGGGTTTATGTTTTCAAAGCTATTATTCTCTATACTGCGGTTGGGCTGCCAGAAGTTTGACTTGCCTGTGATATATCTGGAAATTTATCATTAAGAGATATACTTATTATAAGTGTCCTGAATTATGAATGCCCATTATCAAGAACAACAAAATCAAGCATTAAAAGAAACTCATAATTAGATTTTCAACATTCATTAAAACTAAACTAACTTACAAAGAAGCTACAAATATGTGATGTCTTATGCTTTCATCTATTCAACTAGAAGTTTAGTTTCATAAATATTTCTAGTATTTAATGAAAACATGCACAGACTGTGGCATTCAGTCCTATGCCACTTAAATTCATTACCAGGAATTGCAGTTTTCTTTAATTACTGATCCTTCTTCATAATGTTGGCCATCTCTTAGGCAACCTGTCAACATGACATATAAACAGATCAAAATGAAACATTAAGTACTAAACTGCATTACCACAAGAAGTAATAAAAATATATGTTTAATTGTTCAAATATTAAGCAGTTTTTAGTATTGATTTGATAATAGTCCATATCGGATCTATGTCAAGATTTGTATATCTAATTTTTCTGGACTTGTACCATGACATTTCAATCTTTAAATTTTCATTAGGGAACAACAGAGAGTATTTGGAAAGCATGAAAACTAGATTAGCAAGGAGCTAATGACTAAGCACTCTTAACAAAAAAATAAAAGCATTTTAAAAGATACATAATAAAGCAGGGTTTGAACCAAGTTGTGGCATTTCTCATTTAAAAAAAAAAATCTACTTAATATACTCTTATAATTTTTCATGATTAGTTGATATCACTAGAGCAAGTGGCCCATAAATTTGTACCAGGATATAAGGCCATTTCTTTTAATTCACTTTAAAAATAGGAATTCTAGTTTTTATCTTCAGGATTTAGATCAGGCAAAAATTCATAAAAGCAATAAAATTGTCACCATTTGTATCTCAAATTCAAATGTTTCTTAACTAGTACTTGAAACTGGCTGCCGACTAGTTAACCAGATTATATAAACTTTATATAAACAGATTATATAAAGAAATCAATGGTGGGTGAGTAATTATTATCTGAAAATCATCACTAAGATATTGTTAAAATAATAGCCAGTTGTTGTTATTGTTAAATGCCACCGTGTCGATTTAGACCCAAAGCAATCCTATATAGGGTTTCCAAGGAGCAGGTGGTGATCTTGAACTTCCAACCTTGCAGTTCAAAACAATGTGCATTAACCCACAGTGTCACACTAAGACTCCTACTTATAAATTAAATCCCTTTTGAAAATGTAATTTGTACAAATAAAAAATTCACATTGAAACAACAAAAGAGACTACTTTTTCTGAAAACAAAATTACTGTGAGAAGCATATAATTGATTGTTGTTGTTAAGTGCCAAGGAGTTAGTTCTGACTCATAGCAACTCTGTATAGGGATTCCAAGGAGCAGCTGGTACATTTGAACCACTGACCTTATGGTTCAAACTGACCTTGCTGTCCAGTGCTTCATGCAGCAACACGACTGATCACACAAAATCCCCAAACCTTAGAGTTGATTGTGATCCATAATGACCACATAGTAGTTGTTGTTGTTAAGTGCCATCTAGTTGGTTCCGACCCATAGCGACCCTGTATAGGGTTTCTGAGAAATGGCTGGTGAGCTTGAACCACCGACCTTGGAGTTCAAATCGATCTTGTTGTCCATTAACCCACAGCGCCACACCAGGACTCAATATAGTAGTGGTTACTAGACAAGCTGCTAACCTCAAGGTCAGCAGTTCAAACTACCAGCCATTCTGGGTGAGAAAGATGAGGCTTCATGCTCCTGTAAAGATTTACAGCCTCGGAAACCCTTTTCAGGGTTGCTATGAGTCGGAACCAACTCCAAGGCACACCACCACCACCACCAAAACCACCTCAGAGGGACTCCAAATCTGTATATCTTTATAGAAGCACACTGCCATATTTTCTGTTCTCAGAGTTGCTAGTGGTTTGAACCACTGACCTTTAGGTAAACAGCAGAGCACTTTCACCACTGTGCTGCCAGGCCTCCCTTAGAACACCCTCCAAAAAAACACAAACAAATAAACCAATTAAACTAATAAATCAAACTTATTGCCTTGGAGTTGAACTTGACTCATGACAATCATGTAGGGCAGGTAGAACTGCCCCATAGGATTTCCAAGGTTGTAAATCTTAAAGGAACCGGCCTGCCATGTCTTTATCTCATAGAGCAACTAGTGGATTTGAACCGTTGACCTTTGAGTTAGAAGTGGAGCTCTTTACCCACCGTGCCACTAGAGTTCTCATCTAGATCACACCAGGGGCCCTTAATTAAGTGAAATTTTAACTTTTATCCATACATTCATAGGAGAAAATAATTAAGTCTGCAACCACCAGAAGTAAAGGAAATAAAAGATTAGAGTAGAAATAAATGAAACAGAAAACAAAATATTGATAGAAAGAAGCAAGATAAGAGGTTCTTAGAACAGATTAGTAAAATCCATAAATCACTGATAAATCTAAAAGGAAAACAAGGACAAGATATAAACAGCACAAATAAGTTGTATAAGGTGACATCACAACAGAACCAAAGGAAATAAACAGGATAACACAATCCTACAAAGAATTTTACTTCAACAAATTTGAAAATCTATAATACATAGACAAATTTCTAGGAACAACCTACCTAAACTAACAAAAACTGAAGTAGAAAACTTGAACAGACCTATAACAAATGAATAAATTGATCAGGTCATTTAAAAACTCTCAACCAAAAAGGTCCAGGTACAGATAGCATTACACAGGAGAACTAACACTAATTCTACTCAAACTATTTAAAAATATTTTAAAAATATGGAAAACCTCCATATTTTATGACGCAAACATAAACCTGATACTAAAGCCAGGCAAAGACATCATGAAAAAAAAAAGGTAGACCAATATCCCTAATGAATATAGCAATCATTCTCAGCTAATCTTACTCAATATAATCCAAAATCATATCAAAAAAATAATATAGCATTACCAAGTGGGATTCATACCAGGAATGCAAGGATGGTTTGATATTAGAAAAACAATGAAGGTAATCTACCATATAAATAAAATAAAGGAAAAGAACCACATGATCATATTGATTGATACAAAAAAGGTATTTCAAAAAATCCAACATCCATTCCTGATAAAAATTCTCAAAAAATAGGAATAGAGTGGAAATTTCTCAACATAATTAAGAGTATTTTTGAAAAACCAACAGCTATCAACACTGTCAGTGAAAAGAAACTGATACCATTCCCCCTTGAAAACAGGAAGCAGACAAGGATGCCCTTTATCACCATTCCTATTCAACAGTGTTCTGTAAGTCTTAGCTAGAGAGATAAAGCAAGAAAAGGAAATTAAAGGCATACAAACTGGCAAAGAGGTCAAACTCTCCATTTGCAGATGATATGATACTATACGTAGAAAATCCCAAGGACTCAGAAAGAAAATTATTGGAATTAATTGAAAGATTCAGTAAAGTTGCAGGCTACAAGATCGGCATACAAATATCAGGTGCATTCCTTTACACTAATAAAGAGTTCTGAAAAAGAAATCAGGGAAATGAAACCATTTACAATAGTCACTTGTGGTTCAAAGTCCAGTGCTGATCCCACAGTGCCACATCAGGAGTCCAGGGTGTGCTCTCTCTCCCTCTATTTCTCTCCCTCTTTCTTTTTGTAAAACTCAACAACAGCAACAAATATACATATCCCTTCTTTGTTTTGTTTTGTTTTCCCATAGCTGATGGTTACTTGCAGTATTTGGATAATTTTAAATGTCAGGGACAAAGGATAAATGACAAAGGTTGAATCAGACACTGAATGAATATTCTACACAGCGTCTTTTTGTCTAACAGATCTTAAACCATAACTTTTCTTGTGAACAGAGCTAAGTTAATTTGATTCTGCACCACTTTTACATTCTCACTGGTTAAAAGAAGGAAGCTACTGACCCAAATTGTTTGTAGGTATTTACTCCTTCACAATCCTCTTAAACAGATAATAATAAAGAAAAAAAAATTACAGTCCAAATTCTGCCACACATCACAATAATTACAAAAATACCTATGGTAAGGAAATTCAAACCAACTCCTCAGTATCTGTAAGTCATGAATTTCAGAAAGTCTTAAGTCCTTTTCTATAAAGTTCCAAGGTTTATCTTGATTGAAAAATTTCCTGGAAGCTCACATGATAATATTATGGAGGTAGAACTCTGTTACCTTTAGAAGTAGGCACCAGAGAAGGAGAAATTTTTCTATCCAGAGACTGAACACAAGAGCAATTAGGTATCTATCTTAGGACACTATGTTTAATTGTTTCCTTTTTTTTTTGTTCCATGAGAGATTCATATAAACTATGGGGTATAAAATGTGGGAAGTAACTTCAAAATATGTGTACTAATCCACATGGATTGAAAACTAACAATTTAACCAATAAAAGCTGATTGCTTATATTCATTATGCTGATTAGAAGAAATAATTTTTCCAATGAAAGCCCATTTCTGATATTCTTGTACTTGAAGGTTCTAATGTTGATCAAAACATGGGTAATAGAAACACTTTTCACAGCTTCCCTGGAGTGCAGCTTTATAGAGTGAATTCTTCTGACCAACCATTCATTTGTCAGATTGTCATACTGTGGTGGACTGTGAGTTTCTGTAATTCTGGAAGCTCTGCCACAGGTATTTTGAATGCCAGCAGGGTCACCCAAAGTGGACAGGTTTCAGATGAGCTTCCAGAGAAAGACAGACTAGGAAGAAGGAGAGACGAACTATTTCCAAATATTTAGTCACCAAAAACCTTATGAATAGTAGTAAAACATTGTCATATATAGTGCCAGAAGATGAACCCCTCAGGGTGGAAGATACTCAAAATGCGACTGCAGGATATCTACCTTCTCAAAGTAGAGTTGACCGTGATGGCACAAATGAAGTAATGCCCTCAGGACCTTGATTTTCTGATGCAGAACAACTCAAAATGAAGAAAAACAGCTATAAATATCCATTAATAATCAGAATATGCAATGTACTGCATATGAATCTAGGAAAATTGGAAAATTGGCAAAAGAAAATGAAATGGAACTCATAAACATCAATATCCTAGACATTAGTGAGCTGAAATGAACTGGTATAGACCATTTTAAATGTGACAATCACATGGTTTCCTATGCTGGGAATGACAAATTGAAAGCGAATGGCATCACCTTTATCATCCAAAAGAACACATCAAGATCAGTCATGAAGTACAACACTGTGACAGGATAATATGCATATGCCTAAAAGGAAGACCAGTCAATACCACTATTATTCAAATTTACATACCAACCACTAGAGCCAATGATGATGAATTGAAAAATTCTAC